GGATTGATTTCCTTTCCTTGGCAAGGGGAGGACTGTAAGGACATTCATGCTGTCCTCTTTGAAGAGCACCCTAACAACTTAGATATTCCTTTCTCTCAAGACAATTCCTCTACAAACCATACTCAGCTGTACTCTTATCCACAACTTGCTTCCTTTTGTCATGCTCCTACCTCAACTTCCGAACATTCTCCAGCTGCCCTAAAGAAGCAGCCTTGCAAAACACAAAGCGAGCTGCGAAACATGACTTCAGTCTCTGACCACATGCCCCCTACTGGTGGTTCTCATTAGTCAGGTTGACAATACCCAGCACCTACTTTCCCTCTGACATGCTTCTGCCATGTTGTGGGTTAACCCTGGTAGGTAGCTGATGCCCACACAGCCATTCCCTCACTCCCACAAACCTTAAGTGGGATGGGAGTGAGAATCAAAGGCAAGTGTGGAAATCATGAGTTGAGACAGTTTAATAGGCAAAGCGGAAGCTGCATACACAACAGTTATTTGTGAGGATGAACACTGTAACTCTGAATGGCCCCCCTTCCTCCTCCTTTCCCCCAGCTTTGCATGCTGAACACAGTGTCATATGGCATGGGATATCCTTTGGGGTCAACTGGGCTTGGCTGTCCCAGCTGTGTCCCCTCCCAGCTCTCACGCACCCTAGCCTACTGCTGGTGAGGCAATGCAAGAAGCATAAAATGCCTTGACACTGCATAAGCGCTGTTGAGTACTAACACTGGCGCGTTATCAACACTGTTTTGATCACAGATCCAGAACGTAGAACCCTACAAGCTTTTGCAAATAAAATTAACTCTATCCCAGCCAGGCCCACTACACATCCATTTCACAATCACAAAAGCAACACTAGGACATGTATTATACCAATAGCAAACAATTCCCCTCCATCTCATTAAGGGATATTTCAATTGAGTTTCTCTTTGTTATTTTAAACCTAGAGAAATGCAAAAAAAAGGAAAAAAAAACAAAAACTTTTTTTTCATTCTCCCTTTTGTCATGCTTTTTGAAAGCAGCAAAAACGCCTGCAAGATACATGCTGAAGAGTGTTAAGCAGAATATGCTTTAAAATAGAGAAGCCACGAGCCACTGAAATTCAGTGCTGTTCCTGTACAATTAAAAGCTATCTCTGGCTTTTGCAGATTATACTTTATTTACTTGCATGAATTTTAACAAAGAAACACAAGAATTTTTACAAAATGAGCATTTCAAAGCAGCTCAACAACAGCCAGCATACATGTCAGAAAGAAGCACATGGGTATATTTGTAAGTCCCTGCTGAAAGTAGATGTTGCATAAAGTATTGAAAATGGGTATAGGGAAAAAAATTGTCTCAGCCTTAACTATTAAAAAAAAACCAAACAAACAAACTAAAATAAAATGGACTATTCCAACTGTTTCTCTGAACAAAAATAAACCCTTCAGTGTAGAGAAACTGGCTGGGCTTGTAGTTGTGAAGGCCAGCATTTCACTTCAGCCCCAGGCCGGCAGGCTTTTACTCTTTAATGGCTTCATGCCCTCTAATTAAGGTTTCCAAATACAGTCCCTTTGAACAAATGTTTACATTTGTCTTGTTAATTCCCATTACTTAATAATCAGAGGCCCCTGCAGTTACCTCAACAGGGGAAGATGAACCAAAGACATGATCATATCAGAGTTTTTGACATTTAAATACCCGATTTGCGCAAACATAACAAAAGTGAACACCTGCAGATGTGAAAAATGGATGAGCAAAACTGACAACATGCATTTAAACTCCAAGTAAAAGTCTGAAAACACAGCTTGTGGGATTATAAATTAAGGTATGACAAGATACTCTCGTATAACATCTTGGTTAGTGCTTTTTAGAAATATCTTTCCCAAATTCCTCTTTAAAAACAAAGTTACCCAGAAAAGGAGGAAAGTTATCTTTTCCTTATGACAGATCAGACTCAATCATTTCCTGCCCATGCTGTTCTCCTTTGGGCAAGTCATTAAATCTCATTTGGGCTATATTTAGTCAAATAAATGGGGGCAATAGCACTTCCTCATGTCACCAGTGCTGTAAATGAGCAGGTCCTTTAATAGATGTGAGCCAGTCAAAGCTGGGTTTAGGAAAGTACAGAAGCACCTGGACAGCTGAGATAGAGGCAGGAAAGTCAAGCAGATTAGAAAAGCCAGTCAGGGAAAGACCTCCTTGTTCTAAATGATTTTTCTCTCTTGAGAGGGCATTGAAACCTGTGCTTCTAAGAAAGAGAGCATAATGCTGCAGAAAAACATAGGTGTGTGGGAACCAGTAGCACTGGTTTGCTGAATTTTTCATTTGTGGATTTTTGCAATGTTAGGAGACATCATAAGAAGTGTTGTTTTGCTTACTTTGAAAAAGAAAACCAAACCCAAAAACAAAAGATAAAAGCAGAGAGGTGAAAGACAAAAGAAGCTAAAGGGGATGGAAAATGTGCCATGCCATTTCATGCAAGAGTTGAGGGTATGGAAGTTTACTGGAGACATGAAATGACTTTGTCAGAGGGCTCTATCACAGCAGATGTGGTAATCACCAGTTCAACTGAGGGCTAGCAGACTGAAGTATGCAGTACTACAGCCAGCTGCGACCCTTTCCAGGACAAGAAAGCTCTTCCCTACAGCAGGCATACCTTTACTGCAAGTTTGTTAGATAAGCCCAAGCTACAATATTTTCTTCAAAATCATGATGCCCACTTATAATTTAATTTGTAATGGACATTTTTATATTTTTTCTACCTCTGTCTTATACATCACATACCTGCCTAGAGCAACATTTTACAGGCAGATATAAAATTTAGGTAACGAAGGTTTATTGTAAAAATGCTGACACAACTGTTATAAGCATGGGACAAATTGGCACCACTATAATTAAGCAGACATTTAAATGGGCAGTTGTTCGTTCAGTAAAATCACCATTCAAGTGCACAACATCTAAGCCTTTTCTCAACACCTCATGGTACCACCCTATCCAGGCAGCCAGCTTTCGCAAATAAATGAGTGCAGCAATTATTTTTTGCAGGAGCGAAAAGGAAATAGTGGAATTCTTATGTTCTCCTCACATGCTTTGTGCCAGGAGCCACATGCTCATCTTTGCTAGAAGCAACCCAACGAAATGACTGTGTCCTTGGTACACAAGATTTAATTAGTCCTTTCTCTAATGGCAACCTGTGTTGTAACTACGTATGATATAATACTACACCTCTACCTATTTTTCTCTTTTTCTCCAAGGGGCCTTCTTATATCTTCTCTGGCAGTATTCTGTGATTCTGCTGCAATTTCATGATTTCTGCTACAATGCCCGTGCTAGCTTAACTGTGCCTGCTTTGCCAGCTAGAACATACTAGCAGTAATACCAAACCACTCCAGATCCAAGCACGTGGAGATCAAGGTGGGCTGTACCGGTCTGCCAAGAAATTCAACTGTTCTATGCACAGCAGGAGCCACATCTCTAAAGCTGCTGGAATATCAGGTAGCCAAGTGGCTTGCAGCCCAGTGCTGCCAACATAAAGAACATATATTATATGCTGATGTACTTGTCATACTGGGTGGAAGGGCTCGATAAAGACTTTACTCTTATTTACTAGATTCAGTTCCCAGCTCTTCCATCAGAATCAGACTGCAACATGGCAGTGACTGGACAGTCCTAAAGCCTTTGGGGATTTTCAGTGGTAAGCTTTTTGAGGAGGGAGTTTTTAAAGTACAGGACCAACTATAAACAGCTGTATGGACTGATTCTCTTACAGTTTGCTGGAAGATCCAAACGATACTTTGGCCTGCACAAATCCCTTTAATTTTCTACTGAGTTGAAAAGCTGAGGCAGGAAAAAAAGAAATTTACTGGCCTGAAACAATGTCTTGCTTGACTTGTAATTTCTTGAGCCTTTTGATACAAAAAGTGAAGGAAAACGTTTTAAATGATCTTAAAAGAAAACTCAAGTCTTTTTACAATGACTTTTTTTAACAACCAAAAGAGACAAAAAATAAACTCCTACAATACTAATTAGCATCACTGAATTCCCATTTTAACACACACTACACAGGTCACCAGGCTCTGCAGGCAAGAGCACATATGTTTGGTATAGGTCTACATGCTTGCTTCCTCCAGGCACTAACACAGGTGAGCTCAGTTTCCTCAGACACCCATATTCAGCCTTTCACCAGATAGGTGCTCTAGGAGTTCAAAAGCCAACCATCCCCTTTTCTTAAGACACTTCTGGTATTTGGTTTTTGATTTGGTTTGGGTTTGGTGTTTTTTTTTTCCCCAAATGCCACTTCTGCATTTGTTGGCTTGGTTTTTCTTGACAAGTTTTGCCTCTTTCTTGCTTTGGCATTGCCCTCCAGTACTCAAACTTTTGACAAGTACCTTATCTTGCATCTTTCTCTCCATTCCCCTGTATTAAACAATATAATTATGCAGTAAACAGCCCAATAACCCAAGTCAGCATATGGTATTTATAAGTTCTTACTGTGCAGCTCTAAATCTGTCACAGTCTCCATTTAATGTCCTGAACTTTGCAAATGTCTAAACCACATGGTAAACACACAGCTTCAATAGCAGTAAAGAAACCATCCCTTCAGAGCTGAACAGTCATCCAACAGTCAGAGACTTCATACATGGACAAACAGTGAAGGTCACGCAGGAGAAGGGATGCCTAATGTTTCAGTAAAGCACTGGGTCTACCAAGTGCGTGCAAATCAAACCTTTCTGTGTGAACGCACTAAGTCTGCTCACAGCATGCAGGTGCAGCCACAAAGCACAACTACTTCTGCTGGTAGGTCTGAGCTCTCCAGCCCCCCTAGCCAAAGCATCTGGGCACAACTGCTGTGGAGCACAAAATAGATAGGTCAGCAAGCATCCCCCGTGACACAGCCTGCCCACCAAGCAACATGATCATAGAAGAAATCCTTCCTTTCTGTTCCACATCAGCAGTGAAGGAGGAGTATCCACCGTCCCCACCATGAGAATAATGCAAAACATTGTTATTGATCGTTAGATGAAGGAATCCTCTCTTTAATGTGGTCAATGGTTCTGACAACTGATTTAGCTGCATACAAACAGAAAACAGCAAAAAGAGCAAACAAGAAAACCAGGAAGGCACAGTTCACTCCTATGTTGTGCTTGGTGGTGCTACACAGGTTACGCTGGGAGCTGCATTAGCATATGACCTACATTTTAAAATTAATTTTGTTCTCAAGTTAGGTGTTCAGGGTTTTTTACTCCTGCAGGCAATTGGTGCTATTGTATGTGTATTAATATATCAGCTCCACCATGTGTTTCCCCTCCCCTCCAGTGTTTGCAAGGGAGGTTTTAAGTAGCAGAGGGAGGGTCTTCTCATAATCAAGGTCCAAGCATTGCTGACTCTTCCATTCTGCATACTGCAACACTCATGTCAGCAAAGCAGCAGAAGTAACTGATAGGTATTCACGTGGGACTGCTCAAAGCTCCAAGGACAAAGAATAATCTGTATTGGAAATGGAGGAGGAGGAAGAAACTAAATGAGGAGGCAGAGCCAGTTAAGGTTTGCAAGAAAAAAAAAGAAAACAAAAGGCTATGAAAAAAAAAATCAAAAGGAGAAAAGGAAAAACAAGTTGATATGAGCTGGAGGAGGATTAGAAGAATGAATGGTTTCTGCACTTACCCAGAAGAGGTGAAGCACAGATTTGGAGATAAAGTCGATATAAATAATTAAAATTGCTAACATAATAAAAGCCTTTCTGAAGTTGTCTAAAAAGAAGCAGAAATGTTGAATAATGGTAGCAGTATTTGATTTCTGTTCATTTATTTTACAGGCAAGGTTACATATGGAAATACTGCAGGGTGGAATGACATTTATTTTAATGTGTTTGGGGAATTATGACATGTAGACAATTAGAGGATCTCTGAGAAACACTTGAAAAGAGCACTTGGGAAGTGGGAAAGTATCAGGAGAAAAACAGACATTCCATGTTTCAGAGTGTGAACAGTCTGAGTTATTATGGCAATTGCCACCCAATTACAAAGTAATTTCAGATACTGAAAAAAGAATTACAGGAATTAATATGGTGGACCAGCCCTCAAACAGCATTGGATCAGTACCCAGTGGGTCAGGACACTACAACAGCTAATGCAAAGTGAAATAGGGCACTTCCACAAGAGCTAAGGCTTTTAGCTAAAGAAGAAATCCCACTTCCCTACCTGCTCCACCTAATGTATTTCATGGCACCTTGTAGCGTTTGCATTACCTGTAACCAGCTTTAGAGAGCTCTTCAAAATCTTTCTTTTCATTTGGAAGTGGTTTTGAGCAGAAGTTGTCTAGTTACAGTGCCTAATTCACTAGCCAATGCAAGTAACCTCTTGTTTCCATCTGAACTAGCCCTTCAGCCCCTGGTGAGATATTCTCAAGCAGGCAAGGGATGGCTTTGGAGATAACATTTCTAGCTGCTGTATGTCTGGAGAACAGCATTCTCACCTGGGACTTGTGATACTTGCTTGTATTCCCAGCTATCCTGCTGGAATGAGGTCTTTTCACTTCTCTGTCTTCTCCTTGTGAACTAGAAAGAGTTGGATGAATTAGTAATAGTTCCATCTATGAAAACCTAAACAGAATGATGCTCTTTGAAGCCTTTTTTTCACAAAACAGTATGAGTCAAAGAAAGATGTTTTTACCTTGCGTTCACTAATTCACTTTTTTTTTTCCTGAGGATAGAAGAGATTAAAATGTTAACACCCATTAGCATGAATGCTAAATTTAGTGACTAGGCTACATTCAAGGTGGATAATTTATCAATACATACTGCCTCTAATAGTCACATTTGTGGGGTATACATCAGGACACCTTCCTCATCATGTGGCCAGATGCATACTGCTCACTTACAGGTATTCACTGAATCCCACCTCAATCATTCCCCAGTCAGAAACAGAAAGGACTGTCATGCAACTCAGATCAGGCAACCTAATACAGATGCACATGCTCCATTGTATGGTACCATATGTGTTCCTCATGTGAGCAATGCTGTCATTTTGATCAAAGAACAGGAGCAGGTCCCCTTGCTTGTGTGACAGGAGGGGCTTTGCACAGTTCTAAGTCTGGGGCAACAGGGAGTAGATAAGCAGGACAGGGAATGGCTCACCAGGGAGCTCCAGCAAGTAATAGCCACCGCACAGGCACCAGAATGCTATCTTCAGTCTACACAATATTCTCTGCAAGCTGGGATGCCCTCTTGATCTACGTGTTAGAATTGTTTATCTTCTTCATTTTTTTCTTGCTCTTTTTTCCCCAATAAAACTTGAATAATCTCCATGTTTTCCACACCTCTTGTGGGAACTGTGGGCATTCTTTAATTTTCTTTTCTTTGTTTGGATCACTCCAATTTTACAAGAAACAACTTCCATAATGCCCCAGGATAAAAAGAAAAGTGAGGTTTAAAAGTAAATGAAAGTTGACAGCTGAATCTTTACAATCATAGAAACACTAATCTGTTAACTAAAGTATCACCAAATCACATGAGTTCACTCATCAGAGCATACTATTTGTCCTTCGAGGTAGGAGAGATCCATTTTGAAAAGCTCCAGCGTGAGCCAGTGGTATCATACTTACAGAAATAATTAAAACAACTCTAATCACTACCAAGAAATACTTAGAATTTAATTAAAAGCAAGGATTCTTTGTCAGGATCTAACAAGAGCTCTCTATGGATGTGATTTTCAGAAGCACTGAAATTTCAGGGGGAATAAAGTAATTTTGGTCTTTTCCTTCACCAAGTTTCCAATTCACAAGAAAGGCTAACAATATACAAGCATATCTAGCTCTCAGAGGGATTTTTAGGTCATAAAATCCAGTCCCTCGTTCCAGAAATGAAACACACTGTATAACCCTTTTTACAGACGTATACCAAAGCCAGTGGTGGCTACAGAGGAGTCCTTCAGCAGTACTAGAGAAGATGCCTGCTAGCAGGTGGTGATGCTGATCACAGCTGGTCAGCTGCTGTAAGCACCTAGTCTTGCAGAAGTGGGAAGATGAAGCCTGAGAAGCTTGACTCTGAAAACACTCCTTAAAAGGTTTAAAACTAATTCCTTTAAAGAGAGGCATGTTTTAAATGTCATGCTTGGCAATGCAAAGCAAAACAAATAACACTCCTGCTTTTACCCATTATCATCAGTGGTGCTTGTCAAAAGATGATCAATATCATTCATATATGGGAAGCCAAATAAGCATTAAACAAATTCAAGCTTTAGGGCTCTCTTTTTTTGCAAGATACCATCAGATATTAGCCACCATTTCTTGCCTCATCACATGCTGATTCCCTCAGTAATCAGGATTTTAATTACACAAATCTGTCTCTGGGTATTTTCTTGCATAACTACTAAAAGGCATGAGCATACTGATCTTGTGGCTACAGTAGAGATGTGTGTTACAGACAAAATCCAAATTGGGATAAGGTTTTCAAACTCTACAGAGTTTGGGTATGCCGAGATCCATGGTTTTATATTGGAGTGTTTAAAGATATGGTTTTGTGGCTTTCTTTTTACTCTGAGCCTGAAAGAAGTGTGGGTAATTAGAGACATATGCATATATCTGCATATGCAGACATTTGCCAGCATTATATGAAAGGAGATGTTTATGTTGGCAGTTTGCAAAGTGCTGGCTCTCACCTTCGAAAGCTTATTGCAGGGAAACCTGACAAAGGATCTGACCTGTGACCTTTAACTCCTGACAGGATAACTTAAAGCAGTTCAGAAGTCTGGTTACCTCTGATAAACACTCTCCAATTTGATTGCTTAATAACCTCCATCTGGTGAGCCTTCAGCCTGAATCAGGAAACCCTTTGGGTTCAGGCCCTCTCACAGGTTTCAGCATTTTCCCCATTCACTCCCCAGTTCCAAACAGCACCAAAAAGAGCCTGACACCATAAAGATAAATGTTACAGATAAACCCTGCTCTGTTGCAGGGGGAAAAGAGGCAGGGGTTTAATCCTTGTCCAAGCATAAAGATTTTGTAAATTTCTCTATAAAGCCTGTTCCTATCTCTTCAAGGTAGACTTTTTTACAGTGATACATGGAGAGCAGCTTAATTTTTTAGGTTTAACTAAAACCAGAACTTGGCTTTCAGTATTGAGAGATGAAATTCCTTACCTGGTATTTTCTCATCCTCACCTAAGATGAGAAAACATATCAACCGTTTCACATACTGCCTCTGTGAAAACACTGTTCCTATGCTTCAGCACCAATTAAAAAGATGCTGCCAGAAAAGAACCACCTGCTTGCTTCTTTTATTTGTATGCCATAGGTGGATCCTGTACTGACTCATTTCCTTTCACATCAAGTATCCTGTTACCTTAATATTTGCACAGGTTTAATCTACTAAAGAAAAAAAAGAAAAAAAACAAATCAATAACATTTGCTAAGGCTGGAGCCAAAATGCTTTCAGTCCTCTAGATGCAGGAGACTCACTAGCATTCCACATGAGCAGCTGACAGCACCCTGTGCTAGGAAAAGCCTGAAACGGAGCTGGACTCTAAATGACCCAGTCTAGGAAAACACTGATGGGACGCAAGCCTCGAGCCCTTCCCACCACAGAAAAATTAGTCCAGTTTAACTTCTTCCTTATTAGCCAGCTTTTACTACTACTGAAAGACAATATACGGATTAAATTAAGATCTTTAACAAGATAGTTAAACATTACCAAAATCCTGGAACTGAATTCAAATTAAAAGATAGGTTCAAAGGTTGTGTGGAGAAAGAGGCAGACGGTGATGCTTACTAGGGGTAAGTATCCACAAAGGCAACCAAGGAACAGAGCTGGCCACCTTCCATTTGTAATATAGCTTGGTGAGCTTGGAAGGCAGCATGCTGTGGCATAAGGAAAACAGAAGTTACAAAGATACCTTTTTTTTTTTTGCTATTTGACTTTTTTTTTTTTGTATATATATACTTATAGATAAACTTCATTAGTTTCCATTAGTTCTCAAAGGTCCCATATCTTTCAGGAGTTTCACTAAAAGGAGGTTTTCCAGGTCTTAGTAACTTTAGGAGTGATGTTACAGATACTGCAATGCCAAAGCTCAAAAAACTTTGAAAGAGGTAGGTTTCTGTCTATGTATTCCAAGTCCCTCCTCGGAGGAGCCCGTCTCTGCACTCGCTACAGGGAGATTAAGCTCCTAATCAAAGCACTTCCGATGCCTGCAGCCAGATGATGCAAAGCCTCACCACTCTATTTTCCCTTAGTGTATCCCATGCACAGCGCTCTGCACGCCAACTTGGAAGGTCACAAGGAAGACCTTCAGTTCACATCCAAAGACACTACTCAAAGCAACACTGAGCACTTGCCAACTTAAATCTCTGAAGGCAAAGCAGAGGGACTGTTGGAGATCATTCAAAGACAAAATTATAGGAAAAGTCTTTCACAGTAACACAGTGCTGATGCAACTGCATCTTTCAAAACTGACTGAATGACATTTCCACTTCCATATTGCTAGAGCCAAGCAGTGAGCAACACAGGAAACAACTCCCAAAGCCAACTCCTCTGCAGCAGAGCAGAGCTCATACAAAAAGAAGACAGCCTTGAGCTGCTTTTAATTTGTAAAATATACAGCATGCCCTAGTTTATACACACTGCAGCATTAGACAATTAGACATGCTGAAGTATCATTATTCGCCTGACTCACAAGTGAGCACCTTCTGTCTCTGCTCCCTTCTCTCCCCTGAGTGTGGACCATTATCCTCATTTTTGCAACACTGACAGAATAGCTGCCCCACAACTATAATTAGTCCACTGCTTGTTTGTTTTAATAGATGTATTTCCTAAATGAGAAGTGGCATTCTTTTCTCAACAATCTTGATTTGCAAATTTTTGCCTAGGATATTTCTTTAATTGTTTTCCCTCTATTTTCACATCTTTGTCAGGAAAGGAAAGGGCTTAACTGAAGTTAAGATTTCCAAACTTAACTTCTGAGCTTCTGGATATTATAGGATTATGACATTTCCATTTTCAAAAGTTGAAAATCTTTGCAGAAAGTGTCAAAAAGCAGGAGAAAAAAAAAAAGAGGGTTGGAGAAAAACTATTTGCAGCTGTTTTATAAAGTAACTCTATTATAAGATTTACAACTTTTTCCCAAGGCATAGAAACAATGCTTCCCCTGTGAACTTGAGTAAAACTAATAATGGAAGGATCACCAACAGTAATGTATATACAGCCAGATTCTCGTAAAATATCTAACTGTTGATAAACTTTGCCAAAGAGACAGCACATGTAAAATGCACAGTGAAAAACATTGTGAAATGTAGTACATACAGAATAGTTTAGGATGGCCATTGGAAAACTTTTACATTTTAAATTATATGCTACTTTAAAGTTAGTATCCCATACTCATGCCAACAAATCAGGTCATATCATCATGTATTCCCATTTACTTACAATATCAGATAATGTTGATGAGATTTAAAATTACTTGCTGGGAATACTTTTTGTCTAAACCTACACTGCATTAGTTACCATTAATCCTGCTGTGTAGCTCCCAGATTGGAAAAAAAAAAAATAGCCACTAATTTTCAAAAAATGCCTAAAATAGGCACTTCTTTAACATCCATCATCTTGCTCCTTT